ACAGACTTGTCCCTTGGATAGTACTCAGAGTGTAGACATCTACAGACATGTGGTAGTGGCAGTGCTTTTTGCCAGTAGCATCTAGAATGAGCTCAGTTCTTTCAAAACCAGAAAAGGAAGTGTGGTTCCCGTTTTGAAGGGCTCACTAAAGAGAGTAGATTTTGACTGTTTTGACAAATGTGAAAGTGAGGTCTTTCCAAGTGCACTGCTTTAGTTTGAGTTAAGGTCAGGGCATAGGGGTGGAGGTCAGATACTGTGCACCCAGTGTTCCCCTCCCCTCCTTTTGAGCCAGGAGACTGGAAGAGGAAGAGAAGACCTCAAACCGTGGCTCCATCCACCCCCATGCATTGCCTTCTAGCCAAAAAGCATTCTCATAAGGCTGAAATAACCTACCCCTCCCTCTAGCGGAGTAAGGCATAGTAAGAACCAATGGCTACAAGTTAAAGCTAGGTAAATTCAAATTAGAGAGAAGGCACACATGTTTAACACTGAGGGTGATTAGCCAAAGGAACAGGGCCTTAAAATCTTCAGATCAAGACTGGAAAGTTTGCTTTATTCGCACAAAAGTGACTGGGCTCAGTACACAGAAAACTGGGTGGAAATTCTGTGACTTATAACATCCAGCATGTCAGACTAGATAATCGAATATATTCATCTAATTTAACATAATTTGAGAGAGTCCAGAGGAAAGCCACGTGCATGATCAGATGACAAGAGAATAGGCCTTGTAAGGAGAAGCTGAGAGCTACGGGACTCTTCAACCTGGAGGAGCGCAGTCTCAGTGGGGACCTGGTGGCTACCTATAAGTACATCAGGGGTGTGCATCAGGAACACCTGTTCACAAGAGATGACAAGATCCAATGGTCACGAACTCTTCCAAGACTGTTTTAGGCTGGACATAAGGAAAAACTTTGTTACTGTCTGAGCCCCCGAGGCCTGGAATAGACTCCCTGCACAGGAGATGCAAGCACCTACTCTGGACTCTTAAGAGATGTTTGGATGCTTATTTTGCTGGGATCCTTTGACCCCATCTGACTTCCTGCCCCTGGGGTAGGGGCTGAACCCAGTGATCTTGCGAGGTCCCTTCCAGCCCTAATGTCTGTGAAATCTATGAACTCATAGAGTGTGTGTGTGCACGCATGCGCGCGCACATGTGTACCTTGTATTTAGTACAGGGTAGGCAGTATATAGATTGCACAAAGGGATGTAGAAGTGGGACTTCAGAGTCTGTCTAATTAGTTGACAAAAAACTGAGCTTTCTTTAAGTTTTCTTTACTCAACTGATTCACCCTTACCTCGTCCAAGCCCCAGGTGGTGTACACAGTCTGGAGGCAGTGGGTCGATGAATGCAGGGAAAGTGAAGGGTTTTATGCTTTTATTCCATCTCTACAATTTGATCTCTGCAGGCAAGCTCTTGCACCTACAGATCATCCTGTCAAGTCAGTGGGACTTCTAAAGGGACACAGCTTCTCATCTTCATGGAACAGATCCCAGGACTGTGGCCTCAGTTTGTAGCTATAATGACTTGGGTCGGGGGGAAAAACCTACTGTTAAGCTCCATGCATAAGAAGAATGGACCGTTCAATTATCACTCGTTATTTTCTCTCTTAACTATGTGGAATCAATAGCAAGGCTGTGCTGAGCCTCTCGCCCTGTGGCTAGCATGTTTCCTTAGGAGTCTCTTGTGGGGAGGGCCTTGATCAAAAACCGTTTAAAAGTCTAAAATACCCATGTTTACTGGTCCCTCCCCCCCATCCTCTTTGTTCAAGTGTTAATTCTTAACACTACTGTAATGCATTAGAAAGGTACCATTTAACCTTACAGAGGATGTGAGCCTTACCATAAGTTACTAATTTAGTATTTTAATAGCACATTGGTCTAGATTCACTTACACATACTAATTGCTGTACTCCGGCACTTTAAAAAAACTGTAAACTGAGCTTAATCAGCTATGTTTATGAGTGCCTTGTGTAAAGTGGCAAACCACTGAATCTTGCCCACGATCTTTAATGATTTTCTCACCTCCTTATTAATAATGCTGAAGAAAAGCCCACCGGGCCTTCACTCGGTCACCCCTTGGGAGTTAGCAGAATGTAGACAATTTGGCACAGGCTACAGCTGTTTCTATCGATCTGGTAGAGTCTACTGCAGTTGTTCTCAAACTTTTTAAACTCAAGGCCTGCTTCAAAACATGCCAGCTCTTAGCTTTCACTCATTGTTTGACTATGGAAAAGTGACAGAGCAATTTTTCTGTTGCAAAGAGCTCAGCATGACCACAAGAAGTCAGAATGTTTTTGACACGTGGATTCCTATTAAAATCACTGGGTTTATTTTGTGAATCACGTAGCTATCTGTGTGGTGCCGCAGTACCACGGCTGAAAATTACTGGTCTATTATGTCATGCACTTTTTGGGAAGTGTTTCCTCATAGAGCTTGTCTGACATTTCTGATGAAAACTGGTCATGTTGGAGGACACCGATGAAATCATATCAATTTTAATAGAATTTTCATAAGAAATCATCAACACATTTCATTTCCAGAAACGTGGGGGTTTTGTTTTTCTTTTTTTTAGATAAGTATTGAAACAAACGTTTCTTTTCAATTCCTTTTGGCTTATACAGGAATATCCAGTGTTTAGATTATGGTATGTTTAGGTCAAATCAGCACATAGAAACAATCTTTTGGAATATTTTCTTATCGGGGGAAAATTCCCGAAGTGGGATGACACTGTATTTTCAAAATAGAGGCACCTTCCCACAGATGGAAATCCCATTTTTCATCCAACTCTCATTTCTACATGGCTAGCCAACTCAGCAGATCATGACTTGATCTGACTCGCAAGAAAGTACCCAACTTGAATCCAGACCATAGTGATGTGCTCTCAGTTTCTTGCAGAAAAATGCACTTGTACTTATGTGCACATGTTGCATTTGTGTGTGCAAGTGGATAGTTTTATAGTAAAGCATGCTTGAATTTTTCCATTTTCCCTGTACAGATGCCACTTTCCAGATGCAAATCATGTGTCTTATTTGCTAATGGATGTATGACTAAAGTTTCCATTGGGTGATTATTTTCACTTCCCAGATGTTGGTGGAAATAAGATGACAGCTTTCAGAACAGCTGCCTAACACACTTAGTCTTGAGCAGCCAAAGGCTAATTGGATGAAATGCAGATAACAATGGAAATGTCTAAAGAAGCGGAAGGTGCTGCTTTTAGAGGCTGTATTACAGGAACTAAGGATGCATATATTGGCTGAATTACTGCTCTTGTGGGTTGTACTTGTTCATGTGAATGCGTGAGATAACTATACATTTAGGAAACCTTAATTTCCCCCCCATGAATTGGTAGCAAATGAGATGGCAGCAAATATAAGAATAAAAGAGAAACAGAGGGGAAAATACCACTTTTCTGAGTGTACATCCTGTCCTCCAGACATGTTGTCTTTAGATTCTGAACTCTTCAGAACAGAGACACCTTCTATAAAATCAGTCCTAGTAAGAGATTATTGGTGCTATCTAAACACTTATGACACATAAAATCTTAGGCCACGTCCACGTGAGCATGGACGTTTGTTTCCCCAGGGACAAGAAGCGGCGGCACACCTTGAGCCTTGAGGAACACTTGTGCCACGTGCCCTCTGGCGTGCGGCAGGTTACCCCAGGTAGGGGAGGGGAGGCTAGGGCCGGCCCAATGCTGACCCCAGCAGCCTTACCTGGGGGCCTCCTGGGGCTGCAGCAGTGGTGATGCTGCCACTTGGAGCCTGGCCAGCAGCCAGAGTGTGGCTCTGGCCGGTCAGGCTCCAGTTTTGGGTGGTGTGTACTACCTCTATGTGCATCACTCCACTTTTGTGTATGTGGGGAGGTCCCAGGGTCGAAAAAGCCCTCCAAGCTGCTACCTTGAAGCACGGAGAACAGCTGAATGTGCAATATGTAGCACCGTGGATGTGTCTGCGGCACCGCATGCCGCACAGGCACTCTAATATGGACACGGCTTAGAGTATATAAACACCAAGAAGGAAGAAAACATTGTGATTAAAATACCCCACTGACTTCCATCCACCCATGTTTTTATGGTGCTGTCTATCTGTAAAGCCATGGCAGAAATGAGATGAAATGGAAAAAAAAAAAAAGTTAACACTGAATACCAGGAAAGTTGCTCCGTGTAGAACCGGAGGGGCCCAGCTCTGGTAAAGTTGAGCAGGACAGAACAATAAAATGTTTTCTATGGACAGTCACATACAGGTGCCAGGAGGGGCGTAACTTTGATGCTTCTTTTTCCATCACTAATTTCTATGACTTTTGGAAAAGCAATTATTCCTTCTGCAGCTTTTTGCACTTTCCGTACAAGGCTGCAGAAAGAGATTTCCTAGCTGTTTGATAAAAACCAGATGCAGGGCATGCAGTATATTCAGTATAAACGTATAGGGTAACTTGACTGGGCAAACTTAGATGTACGTTTTGCTTTAGATGAGCTGCCCACAGTAATCAAGATGGTCTATTAGATGTTACTGTTGGGAACATTTTAAAGATATCAGACCAAATTTCAGCCAGTGTGCACCTGTGAAAGTGCAAGGCTCAAGGAAAATCTTAAGTTTCAGGCTTTTCAAGAAGTCACTGTTTCTCAACTTGGAATAACTTCTACCTTTTACAAAAGGAATGCAAAAAATCTCAAAGGCTAAAAAAGCCTCAAAAACCCCCAAACCTTCCTTGAATAAGAGAGACATCAAAAGCCTCCCAGCAACTGCTATTTTACCAAGACCAGAAATAAATAACCAGGCATGTTTTGGTGCACATGTCAACCTCCCCATCTCTGTATGCTCAACAGTTTTGAGGACAGAGACGTGCGCTCCATCTTTCCCTGGGAATTCAGGTATCAGCCTGGAGCGGAATGGGAATGTCTGTAGCAATGAAGATCTGGGGCTGCATTGTTCCTGAGAGAGTTTATTCTTTGTTGGGTTTTTTTGTTTGTTTGTTTTTAATACTATGATTTTTCCTCTTAGAAATTTGAAGAAAGTCAAGGAAGAGTAAGCAGCAAAACAGCCTTTTACCAGGCCCTCCAGAATTCCCTTGGGGGAGAGGACTCCAATTCTTTTATTGAGGATGCAGCCACCTGGTACTATTCCCTCCGACATTCATCTGAAGATTATGCAACGTTCTCTAGGGCTTTGGAAAATGCCACGCGGTAAGCAATGAGTTGTATTATTCTACTTTATGAGCCTGAGATGAGATAAGTTTGTGTTTTATAGCCCTGGAACAGATTTTAATTGTCTCCTAGTTCAGCATCCTACGCAAATGCAGAATTTGCTCACCCTGAACCATCCCACATAGATGCCTATCCAGCTTCTTCAAGAAAAAATAAAAAAAACAGACCTCCAATAAAGACACTTCCACAATTTTCCTAGGCAGCTCATCCTACTGTTCTTGCAACTAGAATGCTTTGGTGGTTACCAGCATTTAGTCCTTGTTAATTATACAATTAGCTACTATGGTGGTGAAAACTGTACAAAAACTTGGATTGCAGTGCCTAAAGATTAGGGGCCAGATCCAACTCCACCTATTAGGTGCCTGGTAGATTTAGGAATCTAAATGCAAACTTTATTTCATCCTGCTTGAGTCCCTGGAAAACTTAATGCAAAAGAGGGATGGCTTCTTGTCCTCCTGGTTACTTTTTTACGACTTAGCTTTAAAGTTGACAATGGGTTACAAAAGTTGCATTTCCACCTGGGAGAAATTTTACAATCTTTCCATGCTCCTATGCCTGAGGAAGGGCGTGTGTGCCCGAATGTTTGCAAATAAAGAATATTTTTGGAACTATCTAGTTGGTCTAATAAAACATATCACCTCCCCAAGAGTTCTGATTATGAAAGTACATGCATTAATGGACTTTCAGGGATTCAAGCAGGATGGAATAGGATCATATGATGTACCTCAGTCCACCTTTACTTTTGAACCTGAGATGCGATAAGCTTGCATTTTATAGCTTTGGGATGGATCTCAAGTGTCCTCTTGTTCACACTCCTACACGGATGCAGAATTCACTATCAGCCCAGGTAGATGCTAATCCAGCTCCTTCAAGAAAAAAGGCTCCTAGTCTACCTAGGCACTTAATAGGTAGACTAGAATTGGGGCTTTTGGATTGTTCTTTTGAATTTAGATGCCTATATGCCATTTGTACTGGTTAAGCTTCTGTGGACTGGTCTAAAGCTCACCATCAAGGACTTGCCCATGGCCATAAAGCATTGCCTGATTAGGTAGCATTAGAATTTAGACCTCTCTGGCTCCCATCCTGTGCCTGGTCCACTGGAACTTGCCTGCTGGTGTCGTCACTCTGTTTATCACATCAAGCCCTCTGTCGTGGAAATAATTGTTACATTACTAGAGATGTCGTTACCAGAGCTTGGCACTAAGCAGTCCACAGTCCTGCAGTTTGCATCTGGATCTGAACTTCTCACAGCTGTCTCTCTAATTTTGACATCACTATAAGAATGCACAGGAGTAGAAAATGGGAAAGGAATGATGAAATCCTCAGCAGTAGCCCAAATAGCTTTGGGGATTAGTATGATTGGAGAAATGAAAAGTGAGTGGGTCTGAGTGTGGCTTTGCACACTTTGTAGGGAGGGTCATGACCCTACCCTCTCTCCCATCTCCTCCTAGGTGGCTGGTCATGCAAGACAGGAGCAGCCCTTGCATTGAGAGTGCAAGACCAGGGCTGTGGCACCCCCACGCACGGAAGCAAAGTGAGGGGAAGTCTCCATGCACCTCTCCCTACCTGCTTCCTTGCAGCACCAGCTGAAATCCACCCTGTTACATTTGAATGGCATACACTTTTTTAAAAAGCTCCTGCAGACATCCCTCTGCTGACAGTGCAGATGTGTTATGAAAATTGCTCCTTATTCCCAAGAAAATGAATGTAGTGATTGTTTTCTTCGACTTGTTGAGCCAGGCTGTTTCAAGCCTGCTTTTACGGGAGCACTCACAGCTACAGGACTGTGATTTTGGCTGTCTGTGCTGCACAGTATCCTCCCACACTTGCACCAGCATGGAGAGCTCTAAAAGCATGATTCCTCTTTCAGTAGATCTTCACTGAAATCACAGGTTGCTGCCCCCAGAGAGCCTAAGGGAGACAGAGCTGAGAGTGAGCCAAGATTAATTTAGAAAATCTTATCCCAGAATCCAGCAACCAGATCTGTTTGGGAAAAGCCCCTGCGTGGTCTGGGTCTGCCTGTGTGTTGAGGTCCTGAAGTTCACAAGCAAGCAGTGGATTGCAGACGGCGGCTTATTTGTTTCAGTGGCACCCAGGGGGTGGTTTATCCAGTGTACTGCTTCGCTGGGCTTTTCCTCCCTCCCTGCCTGCCAGCCTCTTCTGTTGACAAGGTGCCAGTCACTAGGCCGTCTCCAGGCACTGTAGAGATAGTCCAGTTTTAAACATGTAAAACCATTGGGAAAACTGTGATAAAGAACTAGGTAGGTACCTGAATCACTTGAGAAGCACAGTTCCTCACTGTTGTGCAGCCCTCAGCAAGGAACCATTAAAATAATAATTAAGTTTGCTACAGTCACTTCTTTTATCCAAGGGCTCCAGGATGCATAAACAAGCCCTACTGCATCCCTGGGTGGGGAAAGTATGAGTTATTACCTGCATTAATCAGATGGTTAAACTGACTGAGAGAGATGCAACTGGCTGGCCTGAGATCACACCAGGAGTTGAGTGCAACAGAATTCAATGCACTTGAAACGCCCCAAAAGCTAGGCCACTGCTCTGCCCACTGAGCAACGCTTCCACCATAATACTTTCTCCAGGTCCCAGCCTATGCTCCAGAGAGGAATGGAAGTGATGATCAGAACCTCTATAAATAGTGAAGATGGGTAGTTAAGGAAGAGGAGAAATGTATCCTTGGATAAATGTGTAACCCAAGGCCACTTATACACTCAGGGTCTATAATTTTTTTGTGAAGTTCTACTAAGCTCATAAAGCACAAAAAAGCACCTTAAGCAGTTAAGTTGCAAGTCGCATGCACTTGAGACTGGAGTTATAGAAGATTTTAATTTTTTTAAATGGTTTTGGTTGAAATTCTGTGATATTTTTCCCAATTTTTTAAATTGAGCTTCATGGAGTCTTTTTAATACAGTATTCTGTGAGCTGTGAGAAGGAATGTACACTTGATTTTTGGTTTTCAAAATTAACCTAGAACATTTGACTCCTTTCCTTGCTTTACCCACAGAGAATTGAATTTTATGTGGCCGACGGGCTTCAGAACGTTTCTCGGGAGAAAATAGCTTCAAAGTCCTGATATTTCACAGAACATCTGTTCCCACAAAGTTGTGTGCTTATAGGTGGCAGAAGCATGGTAGCTTTAGTTTTAAAGGGTGTTGTCTATTGTAACTGCTAAAGAGAGCTTTGGTCATACAACCCAGTGTTTTGTGGTTTCTGAGTTGAGGTTCTGTGAGCTTAAAATAAATGCTGCTGAACTGGTGCAACTGGTCGAAACACTTAAATGGAGAAGCACATCTCTGTGTTCCTCTCACATTATTTTTTTTTCTTATCAGTCACTTTTGGCAGTCAAATATTTAAGCGATAAATAGGTTTCATGTTTACTGCAGTGAACAAGAATTAAAACCTCTAACTTTCATATCGTGTGGTTCGTATTTTTGTGTATAATGTGTATTGGGTACACATTTAAGTTTATCATATAATCCTCTCATCTGTACTCTGACCATTACTCCAGCTCCTTCAGACATTTACATATTCTATACTAAGCAGTGTCAAGCAGATGCCCATTTGAGTATCCTTCTTCCAAATGTGGAAATTCCCTCCAAAATTATCCTAATCCAAGATCCAGATCAGGCGCCTTTGACCCATAACCACTGAGATGCTAACATTCTTGCAAGATGCCATTGCAAGCTTGTTGGTGCTAAAAATCAGAAATAAATAGGATAAATCATCCCATTAGAAAGCTTGGGATGCCCCAGGATCAGTGAGAGGCCTTTTGTTTCCTGCTCTGGAAGTTCCTGAGAGCTTCATTGTAATGCAGCATCACTATGTGGGGAAACACGTCTTGGAATCATTTTCAGAGGTTTTTAAATTATACTGGTAATGGTTGCCTTCTTCGTGGAAGGCCTACCTAGAGTGTCAGGGTCTGGTAAGGCTTTGTTTCACCCCTTTGGGGTGAAGATAGGAAATGGAAGCTAGACTGGAAGAGATGAGGAAACCAACTGTCTAAAACAAGAAATATAGATTTTGGAAGTATTTTCTGTTTGCTTAATTGTTTCTCCATGAGTATATTCTTGTTTGCTTCTTTCTCAGTGACCGTTTTATTAACTGCCCCATTATAAGCATGGCGAGTCACTGGGCTGATAACTCTAGAGGGAATGTGTTCATGTACCACGTGCCGGAGAGCTCCTCAGAGAGCAGGTAAGGAGATATATTTTGCTTTATTGCTTGTATTATGGGATTTCAAAACAAAAACCTGCATGGTCCAAACTTTGTCAAACTTACTCATATCAGCAGGGTTCAGGCTAAGAGATCTTGTTTGTCTCTTCTCTGCGTGGCACAAGTCATCCATGCAATACAAGAGAAGCCTGCTCCAAAGTCATCAGTTGTTCAATGGAGTTTTTTAAGGGAAATTATAAAGGGAAAAGGAGCAGGGTGGGATTTCCAATGGTGTGAAGCTTTCCTTCATTCTGCTGTTGTTGAAGTCTGTAGAGTTCTGCTGTTGACTCTTCGCCTGACAGAGGGGGCCTCGATAATGACCTTTAAACAAAGTGGACTGGTGATGAGATTCAGGCACTGGCTTAGAAGATCTGGGTTCATTTTTCAAACTGTGCCACAGGCTTCCTGGTTTGGGACAGATATTCAAAAAGCCTGAGCCTGAATTGATTCAATCTTTTCAGGTAAGTCTAAACTGGCTAGGCTAAATCAGTTTGTAAGTGTACAGACATCCCCTGCAGACTGAAAAAATGCAGGCACATGCATGCAGTGGCTCAGGCTAGAAGCTGGGGGGTGCTAGAGCAGCCCTCCCTTCCCTTCCACTGTGCTGAGCTGAGGGGGGCATAGCCATGCCCCAGCAGGACACTGTGATTAGGGAGGGGTTCCCCTCAACTCCCAACCAGCTCAGCAGGGAATTCATAACAGTGTTTGTCAGCCCTAACTCACTGTTTACCATCCTATTAAGAAAACAGCAGAGGGATATTACCACCTACCTGCTGATTCTGCTTTTGTCCCGTCTGCCACAGCACGGACTGTAGCCAGGATGTGGCATGCTAGCTAATGCTGTGCGTCTGTGCAAGGCAGAGGGGACAGGGATCTCTGTTTAGCAGGGAGTGGCAGGGGGCAGAGGGATGACGAACAGGGGGAAATGAGGCAGATGCTTGCAATCTCTGCTGGAGCTCTGGCTAGGGAGCAGAGGAGAGGGGCCAGCCCTGCTGTAGAGTAGAAAGCCCTGCCCAACCCAGAAAGCATGCTGGGAAGCTGGGGGAGTCTGATTGAACTTGAATCAGCAAGGGGTCTGGGACAGACATTGCATAAACCAGTTTGACTGAAATCTGTTAAGTCTGATACTACACTCAACCAGGTTTATCTCAAACAGGTTTCGGCCATTTTGAAACGGGTTTATGTGCACTGAACATCTGTTCTGTTACAGGTTTAAACCAGTTTCTGATCACTTATAACTGGGTTATATGTAATGTCTGCCCCTAGCCCCTGAGTGACCACATTCCAGACCCCTGATCCAGTTTCTCTACATCATTCTAGTGAAATATTCATGCCATGAAGGAACTGCGGTGTCCCCAGTGTGTGTTATGGCCGTTCTGGACTGCAGTGCAGCCCACGGGAAGCTATGGCAAGAGCATCATGAATTAGATCAGCACTCAGAGATGCTCTAATATATACCAGGGCTTCTACTGGTCCCCAGAGAGAGCAGAAATGGGCATGCCTCTTTCTGTCGCTCCCTGGCTGCACCTGCTCTGAGCTCAGAGGAACATCTCATGTGAGGGAAGTTACCTACATATATGAGTATTCCAAAGAACTGGGACTAAGCCAAGTATGTATCCTCAACAGTGGGATTCCTGTGAATCGCATTAAGTACAGATGCTGTATTTAGTTTTAAATGACAGCAGGGTGAAAACTCTCACTAGACACAGTTTCTCAGACTGTGTTTTTAAATAATTCTGAGACGTATGGAGGCCAAGAGAAGTTTGATTCTGTTATGCTCAAAGTACCCCTTCCCCTTAATGGACAGCTGCACATTTTTAAGGTTAACTAGGCTTCAACCCATTCTGTTTTGATCTATTTTAAACATGTCTTTTCAGAGAAGTTAAGCCAACAGCATCATTTCCAGGTAGTGGTTTGTTTTTGCCATGTGAGTCAAACTCACCACATTCATTTCTGATCCTGGTTCCTTCCTTTCTCGGTCAAAAGCCTCACAGGATGCTGCAGCAGTCACTTTTGGGTGCAGCTGTCCCCAAATCAGTGAAATAAGTACGCTAATGTTTAACTTGAAGGTTCTGCTACGTGTTTTCTTGAATCAGTGGCCGTCTCTGGTCTCTACTCTCCTCGTCCAGCAGAATCTCGAGGCTTGTTGTTTAGAGCTGTTTCTTTTCCTAGGATTTTCCCCAAAAAGGTGGGAGGTATGTGAATAGTGTTTTGATGCCAGTGAGTAGAGAAGGGTCTTTTAATTGTTATGGTTCTATTCTTTGAGCTGAAGTTGAGCCCTGAGTGCAGTTGTTTCTGATTGCAAGGCAGGGAGCATTTGAAAACCAACTCAGATCTGGGCTGTAGATGCTTTTGTAGCACATAGAGTCACTTTATTCAAAAATAGAGCAGTACTGAATCCCAAGGGAGCCAGTCTCGCTTTGGGAACTCTGACAAGAACTTTTGTACAATGTTCTATTTAGTTACCAATATACCAAGATAAGAGACTTTTCTAAGGCGCCTAAGAGAGCAGGGATGCACTGTGCCAAAACCCAGCAGAGGAAAAATGGAAAGAGGTGTCCTCAAATTAGCTAGAAGGTTTCATCTTGCAGGCAAAAGAGGCAGGCCATTTTTTGTCAGTGATAGGGGCTAATTGCAGAAAGCGATAAGGCAGTGTTCGCTGTACCTAAATAGGAACTGGTAGAACCACAGAAATTCATGAAAATGCAATAAACCTCCCCCCCACCTCATCCTGTCACATTAGAAATCTGTCTCCTGTGCTTGCACAATTTATTACTTCTCAGTCTCCATATGAGTAGGAGCTTATATAGCACTTCCTGGCTTGAGGACACATTTTCAAATATCTACATAGTAGCCAATCGTCTTCAAAGCCAGTTCGTTCAGTTTTGTTTTTTCGTGCTTTCCAGCTCAGCGTATTATGTTTGGGTTTTTTTAATCCATCTTTTGGTCAATTTGGACCGGACAATAAATGAAAATTAGTTGCAGCAAAGCTTATTATCTCTTTTTCCAATAGCCACCTTAAGAAAGCTGGTGCCTGACACTAGGTGGTGAGAAGATAAAGCCACAGAGTCAGGAATTCCTCAAATCAGATCTTGGCTCCTATTGACCATCTCAGTAGCCTGGAGCCAAGTCTCGTCTAATGAGAAGTGGAATGCTAGCTCTTCATCCTCCAAGTGCCAGGGCTTAGATTGGATCTGACCTACATGGTCCAGGCACATCTTAACTTAGTCTTAAAGAAAAACCCTGCATGCTAAAAGAATGCTATTCAGATTGCAAAGTCAAGCACTTGAAAATGAGGAACAGAATTCAGGTTGCCTGCGCACCCTTATTTCGGTCTCTTCATGTGTGTGCAATGTGATATGTTCTTCCTTTAGTGTGGGTTACACCAGTTGGCCCACAGAATCCCTGCCTCGTTCAGGGCTCAGACCGTACTGCACTTCCCCCGCACCCCCAGGTCAGTGTGTGTGTGTGTGTGTGTGTGTGTGTGTGTGTGTGTGCGCGCGCGCGCGCGTGTAAAACAGAGCCCCTCCTAATTTTTCATCTCAATTTTAGCATATGGAAACTGCTCCCCACCCCAGCCCCTGCCCCAGCAAGCTGTCTGACAGCCCGTTGTACACAAGGCAGGCTATGCTGAAGACTCCATTGTTGGGTATGACTGCATAGCATGAAGCTCTGTCTAGCAAATAGTATGGAAACGCCCTGTAATCTCAAGGTAGTAAAGAATAAAATCCCTGTATATAGCAGGGATATGTCCAAATTCACACGCCCTCCAATTAGATCTAGGATTTGACATGAAACAGCCATTGGCTAACATAGGTAAGAGACCTGGGACATGGGCTAGGACCCAGTGGCACATCTTCAACGTGAATGAGCCCAGTGCCCACCTTTCCCCAGAGCAGCCCTTAGCTTGGAAGTCAGGGTATTCTCATGGGAGGTGGGAGAGGTGAGTTTAAACCCCCTTAGGCAGAAAGAAATGAAACCTGGGCCTCCTACATCCTAGGTGAGCAATTTAACCACTTAGGTTTTGATAGAAATAATCACCACTGCTGTGTGGAGCCCAGCCCTTCAGGTGGGTGCTGGGCATTGCAGTCAGAGGATCCCACGTGGGTTTGGGTGTGAGCCAGGCAGCATAAAGGCCCCTGAAAGCTCCTTCCTAACCCTGCAGGCATCAAAAGTGCACAGATGGCTAAGCTTTTGCCAGTAAATTCCCCTCCTCCTGGGTCCACCCAAAAGTGCCACAGTCCTGAGACAGCCAAACAGCTCAGAGCCCAAGTCCCAGGTTAAATGCCATTTGTGGCCTGTGGCCTTGGCTTCTCTGAGTATGTCTGTCTCCCGCTTCCTGTGCCAGGCAGCACTGTGCTAAATCACGCCTGCTCTGAGCACTGGAAGCAGTGCAGCTATGCTTGCATGGTGCTGCGTCTGGCCTCATTAGGCAGAACCAATTAGCTCACCCATAGCATCACGACGAGACACTTTCCTCTGGTTCAGGACGTAGCACACAGGACAATGCACTGTTTCAGCATGGGCCTGCCCGAGCTAATAATGAGAGAGAGAGACCAGCCCTCTGTATTGGAGTTTGTCTTCTGTAAAATACTAATAGCAACACTGGCCTGCCTCACAGTGGTAAAAGGATAACTACGTTCAGTTCCATAAATTAATGACATTAAAATGATAATGTGTTTGCACACCACATTTACAGGGGCCACATTGGTACCTAAAATTCATAAAGAATTAATTAGACTCCTACTGTGAAAATGAGTGTTCAGCAACCAAGCTCCTGTACACAATGATGTGTCTTTGAACTCGCAGTCTGCCATAATATTTCCCACTACTTAGGTCCTGAGAGTTTTTCCAACACTTCTTGCAGTTAAATAATAAACTGTGGATGGACAGAAGCTTTGGAGATGAGGGTGAAAAGACATTTTTCCTCGCATTAGGCTATGTGCATACAGGCATGCATATGTGTGAGATATATAGGCACA